GGGGAGAGGCCTGCGGGCCTCCCGCCCCTAGCTTCCGTTCTGGCTGCGGGAAACCATCCTCCCGCCCCGAGGGGAGGCCGGAGGGAGGGAAGGGGGGGGTGCCGGTAGGCATCGTCCGGGTGGCCGGGCTTAGGCAACCAGGCTGAGATCGAGCTCTGCACTAAAAGCACCGCTCGATGGCCTTTGGCTTAAACTGTGCTATGCTTCCTCGAGCTGCTTTTGAGTGTGTCTCCTTTCCCAGATACAAGGAAGAGGTTTTTCCCGGTGAGGATGGCCAAGCAGTAGAACAGGAAACCCAGAGAGGCCTGGCAGGCCCCAGCAGCCACCGAGGTTTGTGAGACCTGACTGGACAAAACAGCCTGGTCTTTTCCCACAGCTGATCCTGCTTTGAGCTCGTGAGGTCCCTTCCAACCTGGACTGTCCTAGGACATACTATAGTTTTTCCTAGAAAGCTTTATGTTGGTCTAGTGTGTTTTTATAATCCATCTTTACCTTGTTTCCACTAGCGATGCAGAAGCAAATACTTTTGTTTGTCTGTAAATGCAAAAGTGTGACTGCTAACACTTGCTGTGCATTAGTCTACAAAACTGCTCCAGATTTCTTCACAAGCCATTCATATCCTATCCACACTGCTCTCTTACAGGTAGATACTTGCTCTGCTGTTAACTCAGAGTTCAGCCTAGGCATTTAGTGTGTTTGATTTAGTCCTTACAGCCTACTAAGACCTGGCAACAGGTTGCTGTAATGAGAATGGCAAGGACCAGCACACAGTAGTTGTCATACTGTTGCTCTCATCACTGAAAGACTCTGAAAAATACAGCATAACTAAGAGGTTGGTCTGCTAATTTTCCAAAAATGTGAGATTTGATTTTCAAAATACACATTCAGAAATTCAAATTTTGTAAACGAAAAGAATCAGCCAGTAAACTACATGTATCAGCCAGTTGATCCTAGTATCCATTTCCCACAGAAGATACACACAGGAGTCTCATTAAATAATGAAACTTGCAACACCCCTTTACTCGGTAGATATAGGTCACTGTGAGCGTGCTAGCAAGCAGAATGACAGATAACTTCCAGGATGACATTAGTTCACTTCCTTATTGCTGTTATGACACCTGGCGATAAGAGGGTGCTGCTTGCAGTGTTAGCAAACATCTCTTCTGAGCTGGCTTTTTTTTTAATCTCTCAATTGATTTACAATCCCCACAGCAATATAAGTATGTAAAAAGTTACAGTGAGGTCCTGCGTATCAGAACAGCAGTCCAGCATGAGCTTTAAGAGAACTCTGAACTCTTGGAATATGTTATATACCCTGGATGATACTGTCATCCATGGACTCTGAAATACACCAAATCGTGACTCTTCACCGTCTTGTCAGTTTCTGCAGAGCACCATGACATTAAAATCCATTCATCTTGCTTTGCGTGTTCTGTTTTGCTCAGGGCTTTACAAGGGCTCCAGAGTACCTCAGTCAAACGCAGTTTGGCAAAGTTTTCCTTTCTTTTATAGTATTCTGGGTTTCTGCATGGATGATCCTCAGAACAGGAAAAACCTGATTATTATGTCAGACATTTTCAGACCAACATAAAGCTGTTAAGCGAACATAGTCGTTTCCATGTCAGAGCTTGGAAGAGCACAGTTTATGATAGCAGAATTTTTTAAAAGCTCTATAATAGATAAAATGACGGTATTTTAAGTGACTGCATTACTCACAAGGCTGGGTGGTTGAACAGCTGCGTTACACACTGAAGTAAAAGTCATGGTTAGTTATTTTTCTAGTTTGTACTTTGGGAGTATCATCCCAAACAACTTTAACAATGCTTTATTTTGCTGGCAGTTTCCAGCTGAGCCGAAGCATTAATGAAGCAAGCCCTGATCCTTCAGAGACATGCTTCCTCTGACTGGACCCACCAAGTTCAGCGCTACTCAGAGAGCTCGGACACAGGGGGTTGCGTCACTCGCTGTGGAGGAGAGGCTGTAGGTTGCGGTACCCGTGAGACAGTCACATTTTCAGGTCAGCACATGAAAAAGTCTGTGACTTACCTGCACTTAGAGTGCTTTCAGAGGTAGTTGGAAAAATTGCCTGTTGGGTGGTGGAGCTTGCTGCGCAGCACTTCTCAAGTCACAAAGTTTATGAAGATAAAAACATTAGCCTTGGGGTTATGACGCAGCTTCATTAGGCAATCAGATTTTGCCTCAGATTTGAAATAATACTGAAAAACAAGTTACCAACAAACAGCTTGCGTTAATAAGCTTACATACAGGAAATTATGTCTTACTCTATTTATGATGTAGTAACATAACAAAGAGTCCAGCTTTTAGAAGCTGAAAACAATCAGAAGCAAAGGTACACTTTCTTGAGATAAAGTATTTTACCCCTGGAGAATATTTAACCTTACCTGGCAACGAGATAGAGGCTCTGTCACCTAAATCCTCTGAGCAAATGGCATTTTGTTTAAAGATGGGCTATAAAGATTTTAGGGGTCTTGTATAGCTGTTCCTGCAGAAGGCTGCTTGGTCTCTTGTAGGAAATCAAACTGCACAATGGTAACAGTCTTCTCTCTCAAAAAAACCCCCCAAAACCCCACAACCCAAAACCAGTTTAGCTGGATGCTCATGTAGGTGCTCCTTGAAGCGTGCTGTACTTTGGGAGAGGTGAAAGCAACTGTATAAATAGAACTGTCACACATACAAGTTGTGGGGTTATGTTCTCATTTTCAATTTGAGCATGTTACCAGCAGCAGCACTTTGTGTGAGTTTCACAGACCAATAATTTTCCCTTTTACACCCTGTGCTTCTAAAAGGCGGTTATGAAAGCCCCACCCGGAAGTTGGAGCTGCACGTGGCGATACCGATGTTTGGCTGCTGCGGCTCCTTTGGCCACGGCCGAGCAGGTGGCACCGTAGGTGCTGCTGGTACCTGGCAGTCACTACCTGGCAGTCACTTTGAGCAGCGGTGGGGCATGGGGTTACCCATAGCCACCCTGTGGTTGCCACGAGGATCCCAGCACAGCCACACGCCCATGCCACAGCTGCTTACTGGGGGTGGCTGGCAATGACTGAAGTGACCCAGAGACAGAAATAAGGCCTGAGTGCAAAGGGCAGCAGTAGCAAAGCTGGAAGAGGCACGTGAAGGCCTGAAGATGTCACAGTTTGCTTGCTTCCTCCCCCAGCATACCACTGTGCTTATTCAGAACCCAATTAACTGACTCAGCTAGTGGAAAACACATAAAGGTTTTGATAATTATTTTTTCCTTAATTATAACAATAATGATTTCACGATGCAGTTAGGCTCCAAACTGCTACTGAAGGAGCACGAAGGGGGACTCTGACACACGACACATGCCAAACAGTGCTTGAGAAGTTAACCAGATGTAATCAGAAGAGTTAAAGATATTTAAGCTGCTTTAAAAAAAAATCATTTAGTAGAATTACTGTCAAATTAAGTTGCATGAAACATTCTTCAGCGTCGTACGAGTGAGCTGTAATGTCATTAACAACACCGGCTGCAGGAAGTGGCTGACAGCTTGGTTCTTGTATGACTGCAGGCATTTACGTGGCCAGAGCGCTGCCCCCACATCAGGTCCGTCACATCCACACATTATTGTTCCAGCGAGGCACCCGTTGGAACATTAACCTTTCAAAAGTCTCCCCCCTGCCCCTCGCTTTTGCACGAAAGCTGAATTTTGTGCCGATAACAAATACCACCTTTGAGAGTAATTATTTCTGACACTGGCTCAGTCTGAGTATCCATGTCTCTGAGAGCATGATGAGCTGTAAGCTGTGCCTTAAATGTGTTTCTTACAGTTACTGTTCTCTCCCCAGGGCTGCGTTCCACCATGTTGAGAGGAGCCGCTCGTGGTGCAAAAGATACGTTTACCCTTTTGTTGACAAGATCTGGGTGCTGTAATTTTTCATCCGCATGGACCGAAGTAGCAAGCAGAAGCTTCCTCGTTCATCCCGCTTACACAACCGATACAAAATCAAGAGAGGAAAACAAGAAAACCATTGAGGGTCTCTACAGATTGTCAGTTGACATCCAGAAGATACGCAGACTGAAGGAATGGGTCCTTCTCCAGGATGTGGCCTACGTTACAGAAATTGCTGGCATCTTACAAGCCATGGGAGCAGATGAGACTGCAGTAGCCAGCATTCTAGAACGCTGCCCAGAGGCAATTCTCCATACCCCTGCAGAGATAAACTCTCAGAGAGCTCTATGGCAATTAGTATGCCAGAATGACAAACAGTTGATTAAATTAATAGAGCAATTTCCAGAGTCTTTTTTTACTACTGGGTATTGCGAGAACCAGAAGGCAAATATACTGTTTTTTCAAGAGCTGGGACTGAAGAATAACATAATCACCAGGTTTCTGACAAGCGCGCCCAGTATTTTCCACAATCGCGTTGAGAAAAACAGAGACGTGATAGAGACGTTACGAAAAAATTATTTACGTTTAGGAGGTTCTGATGCAAATCTGAAGATCTGGATACTGAAGCTGTTGAGCCAAAATCCATTTATTTTATTAAATACCTCCACTGCGATCCAGGAAAACTTGGAATTTCTCCAGAAGAATGATTTCACTGACCGCCAAGTTCTACAGCTGCTGTCCAAACTTAAAGGTTTTGTTTTTCAGCTTACTCCCACGACCATGCAGGAGAGCATGCTTTTTTCCAAGAGCGTCTTTAAGTGCAGCGACGCAGAACTGAAAGAGCTCGTGCTGAAATGCCCAGCCCTTCTCTGCTATTCCGTGCCAGTTTTGGAGGAGAGAGTCGAAGGACTGCTGAAGGAAGGGATTTCGGTAGCACAGATTAGAGAGACACCCATGGTGCTGGAGCTGACCACGCAGATCGTTCGGTACCGAGTTAAAAAACTCTCTGCTTTGGGCTACGATATAAAGAACGGAACTCTAGACAGCTTGAATGGTACTAAGAAAGATTTTGAAGCCAGTTATGGTAAAATACAATCCAAGAAGGAGAGACCAATTTTTAATCCTGTTGCTCCTCTTAATGTTGAAGATTAATTTGAATGCTGTGCTTTAAATTAAGCAAAAGAAAATTATCAATTTAAAAAAAAAAAAAAAAAGAGATCTTGGTTCTGAAACAAAAGCAGTCTTAACCAGATCGTAGTTGTATGTTGTACTTTGTCCTGGAGTGGGTCTTGCACACAGCTGCACGATACAATTGCAGCTTTTTGATGTTTTCAAATAGTATGATTGGACCTGGTTATGATAAAGGTTGGCTTTTCTTCCCCAAGCACTATGGCACACAGTTTTGTTTGGTTCTGTTCCATTTCCTTATCTAGCAGGGCATCAACTGCTTTGGATTTTCAGCTCTGTCGCTGCCCAGTCCAGCCCGAGGCAGTGATGAGCACAATCCAGCCAAGAAAGAGAAGGAGGGTTATTGTGCCAGCAGCATTCATCAACCCCCTGGTTCACTGACTTCTGGAGACCCTTCTGGTGTTCTGTTCCTTATTGCTGAAGTAAGCAGCTCTAGCTCCCGGATCCTGACCTGGAGCAGACTGGGCTTCTTGGATGGGAGCGCCCAACTAGGCTGCAGTCCGAGAGCAGTGGCAGGACACAGGGTTCTCTACTCAGTGACCACTGCTGCGAGGCCCCAGCACATGTGTGTACAAACCATAACGCCAAGAAACTAACGCCAAGACAAGCTCCTTTGCATTTCTGAGACCTCAAAGTTTACTCCTTTACCAAAAAGTTTGGAGCAGGAGAAAATAGGTTTATTGCTACTATCCAGTTCTTAATTTCTGCTTTTCTGGCAAGACTCAGGGAAGACGTTAGGGAGAGACTCGAGTGAGTCTCAGATGACCAAAGGTGAAAGGAAAAAGTCACGCTTTTATCTCTAGTGTAACAAAACTCGAGTCTGTAAGCCGCAGGTGATTAAAAACGACTTCCAGATTTGCACACAGCTGCCACAGTTTCTAAATATATGGGTGACACCGCTGCTCAGATATCACTGCAGGGTAGTTGCTGGCTTTCAGAACAGTAACTGTCTGACAGCGTTCTGGGGCTTTTACTTACCTTCGTTTCTGGGGTAAATGGCAGCATGTAAGAGTGGCATCGCTGACAACCATCTCAACAGAATGAGGATCACCAGGGATTTTATTTCTCAGAGACCTGCCTAAGCAACCATTCCATACACATTCCCTCTTGGCAGCAGGAGAAAAACACAGTAACACCCCACCCCCCACTCTGGGCCATTCTTCAAGGTCATTTTTAACAGGTGCTTTGGCAACCAAGTCCAGGGTTCCTTTTTTTCAAGAGAAGTTTTAAATTGCTGAGGAAAGCTGGTATTGAATTACTTGGTCCGAGGGTGGGCTACGAGATGATGATTTTACATAGCCTGCCACGTTACCCGCTGCAAGCTTGGGAAGGGCTAGAAACATCTGGTTAGAGCAGCCCCAAGATGTCTTAAACTCACTGCCACGTGGGCGAGCGCAGACGTGGGAAGCAGCTCGGGTGGGGGGTAAATGCTGCTCTCGTAGGAGCATGTGACAGCAGTGAGAATTCAAGCAGGGGCATGTGTCACCAGCACGGTAAGTCAGGCTGTGTTACTAAGCCATTTCTTTGCTGACTCTTCAAAACACCGTTTTCCAAGAGGAAACTGAGAAGAGAGCGGTATTAAAAATGCATAGGAACTTGCCTTTGTCACTTTGATTGTCCTTCAGTGCTCAACTGCTAAGCAGACCATAATACTCGAACCCGGCAGCATCCTTACCCTCAGACACAAGGGGGCATTCCAGCTCTCTCAAGCTACTCCTGATCAGTCTTAACGGTGAACCGATCAGTGGTTTAGGATGAAAAGGAACCAAGACACAAACCAGTGTTCTCCCTGAAAATTTAGTTTCAGTATTTCTAAGGTATCTGTTTCTGAAGTTCCTGGAACAGTGTATTCCCATCCCTTACGGTATTTCCCGTGGCAGTGGACAAGCTGTGAAGTATTCCTTAATCGAGACACAGCCCGAGTTAGCACAACTCGTTTACCATTCTGAGTGTTTCAGTTCCTCCTCCTCCCCTTTCAGAACAAAAGCATAAGCAGAAAGACTCCTGTTCTCCACCAGCAGACCAAGACTCATTCAGTCCTTCCTTCGCAGTTCTATGCCTGGGACCTGCTTCTCCCTTCTGCCAAGGATTCATTTCTACTAACACCTCAAGGAAGCTCCCAGTTACCGAAACATCCTATCGCAGCGACCTGCTTCGTCTCGTCGTTACAGCCAACGTGAACAGGTTTATGCTCTGCAAGTCTGGCACACAGAAGCCCGCAGACCAGCCTTCTGTTACACGGCGAGCGGTCAGGCGCACAAGGAGTCTTCGTGAACGCTTCCCCTTTTGAAATGGGGGGGCTGGGGAAAGGAAAGCAGAGTAAAACCACCACAAAACCAACCCCAAAGCACAAGAACGACCCCACTCCCCCTGAAAATTTCCGTTTTGTATTCCATTCAGCTCACTGTAATCTTAAAAGTGGGTGGGTGTCCCTAAGCCTCAGTTCCCAGGAAAATGGAGTACTGGTACAAAGGATTTTGTGTCTCTGCACAGCCAACACCAGGCTGAAGTACAGATGTTGTTCAGAGCTGGCTGGCGCTGTTTAGACACTGCTGGAGCGTGATGCAGTGGGAAGATTTATACCTAAGCATGCCTTTTCTCCACAAATAACTGAAGCAGCTTTCAGATGTCTGAAACAGCAACAGTTTAATGTTTCACAAGTGTCAGGACAGAATCAGAGCAAGTTCTTAAGATGAAGCAAGTTTCCTAAGCGAATGGAAAATATGCAGGATACAGGACAAAGCTCTTTCTGAAAACTAAAGCCATATGCCATGTTAAAGTGTTTCAGTTACAAGATTCAGAAGGAATAACTACAGGATATGTTAAGAACAAAAGGTAACAAAGTGTTGGCAGCTCCATACAGATCTAACGTTGCTTATCTCAGGCGACACTTGTTTGCAGCAAGTTTCATAGTATAAAAACTGGAGAATGTCATAAAAAAGGGGTATGACACACATGGTTTCATAGAACAAACAGGGAGGGTTTGGTTGAGTGTCACAAATAGCACTGTGCTCCAAACAGGCGACTGAAGGGTTCAGCGGTAGCACTCTGGGACTACGCCTGCACTGGCAACTGCAGGGGAGCAGACGACGCTAAGTGATTTGTCGCGGCTGGATTGCCTCCGATACCCAAGCCAGCTCCTTTCCAGACCTACCTGGCATCCTTAAACTACGCTGCATTCTATGCGGTTAGCTTTTGACTGGAACAAATAGTGAAAGGCTTCCATTTGTACACCCTTGCAGCCAGAGGGAGCTAAGCAGTTGGTGCAGCTAACAAAAGGGGCGAATAATTCCACTGGCTGGGTTTTTGCTTCCCGGGCTGCCCCGCATCCCGATGGTTGTGAATACGCTGCTACCAACATGCACAACAATTACGGATACCCAGTCCAGTTGTTCCAGACTGCGGCTGAAGTACCCATGGCTCAGAGAGACTCGGTGACCGCGGTACCCACATCCAATGCTTTCAATACACATACAGGGCCAGGCGTCAGGCAAGTGATATGTTTTGATTTTTTAAACTTCTAAAAAGATTCCCTGTATATCCTTCTTGTACAGCCACAGCCACATGCTTAAAAGTTCTGTGTAGAACACAAGCTTTTAGGAAATACTGCATATGCAACATCCACAGCCTTCTTCTGTGGGCTTCCAAAGAGGTTACTTGTTTGTAAAGTCAGTACACAACAACAACAACAAGAAAGATCACCAACAACTTTAAGGCAACCTCAGGCTATTACAAGTGCCTTTTGCCTCACACGCTGCAGACCTACAGCTGTTCCCATCTGAGGTGTGTCGACATTTGGAATCTGTCAGTATACGGTTCACATGGTTTTGTGGTGTGGTTTTTTTTTTTTTTTTAAGGCCTCACCTACCTTTTTTGGTTTGTTTTAAATAAAGTATCACATTTTACTGAAGAAATGAAAATCCAAAGTATGAGAAAGAGACGCAGTGAAAAGTTCCTTGCGTTTGCTCGAGCAGAGGAAGAAGCTAACCTGGCGCGTCACGGAGCTGAGACAACAGCTTTGCTAGTTCTTCAGTGGTTTCCAGTGACACGAAGGAGTTTCTTTCAAGTCAGACAGTTGTGCCAGGTGACCACAAGCATCAGCCCAGTTTCCATGAAGCCCCCAGTTTTTCTAGTGTCTAGGAGCGGTTTATTAGAAGCAAGCGTTCACTTCTGGGAGATAGATGCGTGTCGTTAAATACACCTGAGATGGAGCAAGCTTGTTTTCAGGCACAACTGACAGTTTCAGATACCAGGATTCATAAAGAGAGTCTAAAGCTCATTCTGTGAACAGCACTGAAACAACGGGACACTGTCACAGCTCCACCTCATAAAAATATATTTTGTCTAATAAGGCATTAAGTTAGTTTACCCTTTATGATCCCTTCCGCCAAGCTTTCTCACTTCCATCTCCCACTCTCCAGTTACTGCACACCTCCAGTTCTGTTTGCTCCAGCCCGCCCTGGCAGAAAGCGGTCCCTGGCAGTTTACAGGCCGCCTGTAAATCCAGTTCCATAACCCAAACCGTGTGGGTACGGCCAACAACGCCGTTACGTGGCTGAAGGGTCCTTAGCAGGAGGATGGGGAAACCACTGGGGACAGTAAACGGCACCTCCACACAGGGATAGCACGGCGGAGTCTGCCAAGTATCTGCATTCACATTTTAGTCCAGAACTGCAGGAGGCTTACAGTAACTGAACGTTCAAATCCGTATTACCCCTTCAGGTGCACTCACTCACTCGTACAGTTACCAAGTGTAACATCTCACCGGATACAAAGCTTCAATCTAGGCTCTAATACATCTTCATACTCCGTGCTAGCCAAGCTTCTTCTGTCCTTTTCAGGTGAAATAGAGTTACTTGCACAGACCTTTAGAATATAAAGTGTCGGAGACACATGGCTCCTCATGGTCCAAATCTCACCAGACTTTTAATGCCACTGCTGTAATGTAATGGAGAATCACGTATGTCTCAGTTTTGGTTTTAGTCAGACTTATCCTTTTTCTTTCCTGTTAAAGGCACTTTACTTGCAACAGCAGATCCTACAGCTGTAACACCTCCAGCCACAGCAGAAACACTTCCTCTGACCAGCCCCACTCCCACGGAAGGCACAGACGTGACTGCTGTTTTGGTGATTTCCAAGCTCTTCCCTCCAATCCAAGCAACACCCCCAATCGTGGCACCAACAGCTCCCTTCGTGACACTGAAAAGGCCGCCGGTCACACGAGAAAGCATGCCAGGCTGCTGCTGCGGGTGGTCTTTTAACGAACCTAAGGGAGGAAACAACAGTCGAGTCAATCACGACGCTGTGATTAAAGCACTTTCAAAATGAGAGCTGTTAACTACTGCCCTTTCTAGCCTAGCAGCAGTGCACACAGCGTTACTCACCCTGTAGGCTGCTCATACAACACCGCTGTCCCAAGTAAGACAGGACGCTGCTGCTGTGAGACGCACCTCAACGCCGTTTTCTAAAACAAGCCAACGCTAAGCCTACAAACACCAAGCGTATGCTCACAGGCAGTCTTACACGACAAACTTCTGGCCTCTGTCCACGTGCACCACTGCCTTCCCAGCCTCTGGAAAGTCTTACAGCCAAATCAGCCTCATTTCTGGACTTCATTAATGGTGGGGGGCAGCACTCTCATCCCCCCATCCTAATACTCAGCGTTAACCCATTAACACACCCCAGAAAAGCAGCAGCACTACCCTGCTGTTCAAGTCTCTAAGGAAGGACTGGAAAAAGTTCCCTGGAGAAGCAGAGCCAAAAGTTTGTTTTCTAGTATATTAGAAAACAGCTGTTCTTTGAAAAGAGCTGACATCCAGACAAAGCTGTTTCTGTCCTTAACCATCACTGCTTTGAAGGTGTGTTTACAAGGGCTGTGTGCAGGGGTCACAGACAAGGGAAAGAAGGTTACAACAAGAGAGCAATCGGGGGGAGTCAAAAGGAGGGTGAGAAGGATAGAACTGATGCCAATTCTTCGCTCTGTCACTGCCTTTTTCACCATGTACACAAATCTGATTTTCTTCCAAAGAGGCCTTTTTTGCAGTTTGGTTAGAGAAGGGAAAAACAAACAAACGAAAGTAGTCCAATGGCAAGTAACTTCTAGTGATGCTTATTATATACCGAAAGTGTCCCCCAATGCATCAACAACAGGTGATCAGGCCCAGTCAACA